GCCGCCTGCCTCGCGGGGGCTGGAAGGAATGGGCACCCGCCGGTCTGGGGTGAACCCTGCCCCCCCCCCGCCCCGTGCGGCCCCTGGCCCACGGCTTGAGCCTCTGCCACAGACACACTGGTGGGCGCTACCTCCGCCCACATCAGAGGCCAAGGACCAACAGCGGCTTGTCATCTGTCCTTACAGGTCACCAGCCATTTAGGACCCTATTTCCCTTGGCCACTGCTCCTGTTCATCGGATTTGTTCACACGCAAAGTGCTGCAAGGCTCAGTCCCAGGTTCCCTGTCCTCCCTCAACTCCACAGAACTCACCAGCTCACACAGCTGTGACTGACCCTCAAGGGCACGGAGCCACTCAGGTCGGAAAAACCTGAGAGCGTGCTTCACCGAGTGCGGGACAGAAGGACGCACCTCAAAACAGTAACCAGGTGACCCTGGCCCGCCACCTCTAGGTACTGATCTGAAAGGATGACAAGCGCGGACTCAGGTGTTTGCACACCTACGTTCGCTGTGGCGGACCCCCAACAGCCAAAACTGGGAGCGGCCCAGGCGCCCGTGGCGGCCAGCCGGACGGCGGTCAGCCTTAAACTAGCAGGACACTGTGAGAGCTGCTACGTGAATGAACCTGGAGGGCGTTAAGCCGAGTGAAATGAACTAGTCACAAAAGGACAAATAGTGTAGCATTTCTCTATATGAGGTCCCAAGAGTAGTCACATTCAGAGATGGAAAGCAGGACGGTGGGTGCCCAGGGCTGGGGACGGGGGTAAGTGGGGAGATACTGTGTAACAGGCAGTTTCTGTCTGCGATGATGAGAAAGTTCTGGAGATGGACGGTGGTGATGCGGCCCAACACTGTGAACATAATTAAGGTCACTGAACTGGACACTTTAAAACGGCTAAAACGGGGGCGCCTGGCTAGCTCAGTCGGCAGGGCATGTGACTCTTGATCTCGGGGTCATGAATACAGCCCCACGGTGGGCATAGAGCTCACTTAAAAAAATGGTTAAAATGATAAATGTTATGTATATTTTACTACAATAAAAAGTGGCATGCCTTACTCTGCATCGATGGTCTGAAAGTAGGGTCCCTGGACCAGCCTCACCAGCAACACCCGAGAAGTTGTTAGAAATGCAAATTCCCATGTGGATCCCAGACCAGATCTACTGATGCAGAGCCAGGAGGGGGCACTGGGCACGATCTGTGTTTTAACAAGCCCTCCAGGGTGTTCTGAAACCACTGCCCTGCAGAACCCTATTACTTCTAGCTGCTTTCTCCACCCGGGCTCCTCCCTCCCTCCCCCTCCCCACCCTTAACGGCAATTAAGAACCCATTGTCAGGATGCTCAAGGGATGGGCTTACCCGTTCCCACCAACACCCTTCCATGAGAAGTGAACGTTCCCATGGTTCCCCAACATGGGCAGCCGTGGGCCGCACCAGAACTCTATCAATACCTATTTCCAGGCCTCACCCATACAGATGCCAGTTCAGGGCATCTGGATAGCCCCTGGGATTCCGGGACTCCACAGAATCCAGGATTCTGCCCGCACTCAGTGAGGTTCTGGGCATGGAGTCAGAGGACCTGGGTCAACTTCCGGCTCTGCCACGTTCCTTCACCAACCACAGCGGTTTCCAGCACGATCTGTGTCTTCTAACTCTGAACTCAAGTAGCACCCACCACAAAACCGGCTGCTTCGTGGCTCTGGATACCCCTGGTGACGTAACTCCAGGTCACCTGCCCACCCTTCCCTGCTGCTGCATTCCCAGGCATCTCCCCACCTGACCTCAAAGGCAGGGGCCTGGTGTCAGAGCCGAGATACACAACTCGCCCCCAAACCCTCCCGGCCTCACAGCGAGCATCCCTCAGCCACGCCCAGCCCCGTGGGTCCCGGTGCCTCAGCCCCAGGACGAAAGGGAGCAATGGCGCCAGACTTCAGCCGCGGCCTCTTCCCCAGGATCTGCTGAAATCGCCCCACCCCCATGAATCCCACACAAAGCAGTGCCACCCGGAGGTGACAGATCATGCGTGCCATCTGAAAAGTGAGGGCGACCGGGCTCACCTTCGTCTACACAGCTGCCGCTGCTGATTCGTGTGCTGCCTCTCTCCACACCGCACCCCAGCCTGCGAAACCTAGCTCCCGCCCTCCCCTGGTCATCTCCCCACTTCCAGTCCCGGGCACGGACCGACCTCCCCCTGAACCAGGTCAAGACTCTGTCCCTCTGAAAAGCCCTTCCAGGCCAGCCACACCTTTAGCTGCAGCAGTAAGCTCCCAGCCTCTGACCCGCAGTACTTAATGCTCTTACACCCAGGGGTTAAGGCCGAGACTTTGGAATCAGACGGGCCTGCATCTGAGCCCTGGCTGTACCATGAGAAAAGCCAAGGCATCCCGGACAAGCATTTTAAATTCTCCGAGTCGCTGCTCTGCAGCTGTAAACTACAAACCCAGCCCCAGAGCTGTGGTGAAGAGCACGAGACGAGGTGTGCGTGAAGGAGCCCCACTCAGAACTGGCACAGGCTGCACAGGGCATGCGTGGGGCAGATCGCTTCCGTGCACGCAGCTGGGCATCTGCTCAGAAGGGAACCGCACGTCTCGGAGCTGCAGAGAGCCTCGGGGGAAGCACGGTGAAGTCTAGTGGGCAGAGCAGGTAGCCCTAGAGCGCACAGCTGGAGAGATGCCAGCGGCCCGCAGCCTGGCAGCACTCCAGGTGTGGTTAGCATGCAGAATCTCTGCCTCCCCCCAGGACCCCCCACGGGTTCAGCTGGGAGAGGACCCTCAGCACCCAGGCCCAAGCCCCTCCTCCTCCGGCTTTGTCTCCTCTAACAGCTGAGATTGCTGGCTGCTTGGAGAGGAACCTGCAGGTTAACAAGCGCCCCAGGTGATTCCTAGGCACACTCCAGTTCCAAAAGCACTGCTTTAGGTCAGGATGCCCCCTTCCTGCCCCATGCTTCCTGCGATACACTCTAAGTGGCCTAGTCCTCGTGTGTCTCCCACAGTGCTGTGGAGTGGAGACCAGTGAGCAGTGCAGCTGGGAGCAGACTCTGACGTCAAACTACTCAGTTTAAAGCCGGCTGCACAGGGCGGCTGGGAAGAGGTCCCAGGAAACAAACTGCCCACCACAGTGCCCGGCACTCGGCAAAGCTCCGGGTCCACCTCAGCTATTTTTAGCAACGGCTGTGGAGATAAGCACTCTGAGAATGGGGGGCGGGAGTCTCTTGGAGGCACTGGTATGGAAGCCGAAAGACCAGTCACGAGCCATGATCTGGAGGAAGAGCACTCCAATCTGTAGAAATAAAAAATGATCAGCAGGGTAGCAGCTGAGATCCCTGGGGGCCATGAAATGTAATCTAAGCAGGCCTGGGAGCCACTGAAGGCCGACGGGATGCGGAATGTCTTCAAAGATCACTCTGATTATGGCGCACGGAATGGGCCGGAGGGCACAAGAGTGAAGCAGAAAGACCAGCTGGGAGGCCCCAGAGGTGGTCAAGGCAACAGATAAACACCAGCCTGGACTAAGGTTGTGACCAGTGGTTAGATTCTGAAAATATGCTGGAGATGGAGCTGCTGCTGGACTGGGCCTGCAAGAAGGACCTGAGGATGGATGCCTCTTGAGTGTGCGGTCCAAGTAAACTCAGTGAGGTGGTAGGAGAGCTGGGTCACGGAGGGTCAAGATGTCCGTGAGATAAGCAGCGAGGAGGCCCCCCAGCGGCTCACCGAAGGCTGGCACTTAGGGAAGGGGTCCTGGCTCAGACTCAAACGGTTACCACACTTTAAGCCCCTGAAGACAAAGACGAGGCCTTTCTCCCCTGCAGAGTCCTTCAGCATTGTACAACGTGCACGGCGCAGAGGCTCGACGCACATCGATGCACTTCAAGACAAAATGAGGTTTTCAGAGGATGGTGATCACCATGTTGGCGCTTAGGTGAGCATCTGTGCAGCAGCGTGTCTCTAAGGGAGTAAGGATTCCCCGGGATGCAGCATGGGTGTTAGTCCCTGAGGACTGGCTCATTTTATGGGAAGGAAAGCAGGCCAGGTTTGGGAATAAGGGGAGAAGCCCAGGAGGAGGGGTGCACTGCTGGAGAAATGGCAGCAGGATGAAATGCTGGCTCAGGGAAGTAGGAGGACCTCATGTAGAGGGTCTGGAGAGATGAGGGAGCTGGGGTCATGCCCACTGCTCCCTGCTTCTCATGATGCCTGCAGGTGGACACAAGCTCTTGGCAGAGATGGCCCAGAATCCAGCCAGAGGTCTTCCCTTTCTAACACCGATGAAAGCTTCCTGTTCCCGAGCGTAAAGAGAGCTCCCCAGAGACTGTCCAGAGAAGAGCACCCACTCTCCCCCGAGCGGCCCAGCACACTATCCCGCTAACCTAAAGGAGCCCGCTCTCACCTTCTCCACTCAGCTCAGTCTCTGCACAACCCTTCTGATGAGAGCAAAAGCCCAGGACAAACGCCTTCGGGTCTGTGCTCCTTTGTTCACTACTTACCGAGCACTCCTCACACGACGTCCTGGGCCTTGCGGGCACCCCAGGATAAACGAGTCCCTGCCAGGGGACCCCAGGGCACACACCCTGACAAGGGCGCAGAGCCAACCCGGCCGCGTACAAAGCAAGTGCACGGAGAAGGGAGAGCAGCCGCAGGGCGTGTGGGAAGCCTGCCTGGCCTTCACCACCACTGTGCTCCTGGCAGAACCAAGTCCTTCCTCAGGGCGCCTACTGCTCTGTCAAGTCTGCGGACCTGTCTCCGTGCAGCAACGCGACTCGGGTCCGGCGCGGTCTGGCCCAAAGCGCCCTCACTCTGCAAACAGCCGTGCAACTGCTCCCAGGGTCGGGAATAGGGCCCTGCGGTCGCCAAGCCATAGCCCAAACCCCCACCTTGCTACTTCCTGGCTGTGTGCCCTTGGGCATGTCGCTCCACCTCTCTGAGCCTAACCGGCGCGCCGACCGCGCCCGCCTCCCAGCCGGCGCGGGCACGGAACGAGCAGGTGCGCGTCGTGCCGGCCGCTCACCCAGTTTCCGAAGCCGAACTGCTCGATGGCATCCAGCAGCAGCTGCTCCTCGCGGCTGGTCCAGCCGCCCTCTGCCTCGGGCCCCCACAGCGTGAAGCGCCCGCCGTCCACCAGCTGGTAGCCGTGGTAGCGGCGGTGGTGGCCGATCTCGGCGCCGGCCGAGAAGCACTCGGGGCACAGCTCGATGTCCTGGCACTCGGTGCAGCGGAAGCGCAGCGGGCTCACCTCGGCCAGGCAGTACACGCAGTACTTCTTACCGAGCTCCGCCATCTTCCCCCGCCCGCCGCCCGCGCCCGCCGCCGTCAGCGCGC